TGACTAATGATATTGAGCACATTTTCTTTTGCATCTCTTCTATGGAAAAATGTCTGTTCAAATCCTTTGCCCATTTTTAAATTGGGTTATTTTTCATTTTATTTTTGATCTGTAAGAGTTATTTATATATTCTGAATAGTAGACCCTTACCAGATACCAGAAAATATTTACAAGTATTTTCTCCTATTCTGTGAACTATCTTTTCATTTTCTTGATAATATCTTTTGAAGTATAAAAGTGTGTAATTTTAATCAAGTCCAATTTATCTATTTTTTTCTTTTCTCACTTCTGTTTTTGGTGTCATATCTAAGAAGTCATGAAGATTTACCCCTATGGTTTCTTTTAAGAGTTTTATAGTTTCAGCTATTTCATTCAGATCTGTGATTCATTTTGAGTTAACTTTTGTATATGGTGTGTATATTACTTCATTTTTTTGCACGTGGATATCCAGTTCTCCCAACATTATTTGTTGAAAAGGCTATTCTTTCCCCCACTAAATGGTGTCAGCACCTTTGTTTCTAGACTCTCAATTGAATTTCACTGATGTGAAAAATTTGTTTGCTTGTTTTAATCAATTATTTTCCCTAGGACTTACCCTGTGACCACTCTGAGGAGAATCTGTGTCATTTTTGTCCACAATTATGAGCTAATTTATGTGAGGTTTCATAGGAGCTTATTTAGAGAAAGCAAAGATGATGAACAGGTCTCCAAAAAATGAAGAATGGGAGGCATAGTGGTATATTGAAAAGAGCTCTGGTGTGGGATTAGTAAGACCTGAGTTTGAATCCTAGCTCTACCCAAAGCTGTGTAGCTTTGGGTAGGTTACTTAAGCTCTCTGAGCTTTAGCTACTGTGAAATGGAGATGACAGCAATCTAGATCCCACAGGCCTGGTGTTAGCATTAAGAAACAAAGGTTGTGAAAGCAATGGCATAGTACACAGTAGGTACATGACAAAGAGTAATGCAAAAACTCAGCTAGTACATGGTCTTGTGGTTCCTTTCTTCCCTTCTGACCAGGGTAATTATGTGGGATCAGGAGAGATGGGTACTCAGTGGATACTTGTACCAGTTGCCATGGTTTTGCTCCTGTCTCCTACATGGTGCAGAAGTTCAAGTTCCATTCTCTCACCTTTCTGTCAGGGGCAATGTAATGGGAGGATGGAGAAGAGGAAAATGGTTCCCTATAGAGCAGCTTTCTGGCTAAAAGAGAAAATCTTAGATTTGAGGGAAGCCCACAAGTGAACCTTGGAGTAATTAGGAAATGATCACATCATATATATATTGTTGTTGTTATGTGCTGTCGAGTTCAACCCGACTCATAGCAACCCCTCCTTGGGTTTCCAAGGTAGTATCACTATGGAAATAGATTGCCCAACCTTCCTTCCAAGGAGCAGCTGGTGGGTTTGAACCACCAGCCTTCTGGTTAGCAGTCAAATGCCTTAGGCACTATGCTACCAGAGCTCCCTCATATATATATATATATATATATGCTTGAAAATTATTTCAGCTTTTTCTTTTTCCAGGGTATTAACAGTAAGTCCTTTAATC